ATTGTCTGGCTGGAGAAACTGAGGAACAGGGTATGAACCCCCCATCCCAACAGCAAGGAAATGATAAAGGCCATGGTTCTAACTCAAGCCATCAAATACTAATCTGGACTATTCCACTGTATGCCTTATAAGAAATATTCATTTTAAAAATGCATGAATATGGTATGGTAGTCTCTTATGGTTTAACACAAATTTATATACATAAATGTATTGTGCAAAGCTACATATTTGGTCCAACCTTCTTCATCACCCTCCAAACTTGGAAACTGTATAAAAGTCTATAGCATAAGCAATCGCAAGGAAGAAAATATAATATAAGTTATTTCAAAGAGAAAAGAAAAACCAAAAGTAATTATCCATTATGGGGTTGACAACATTTACATTAAAAAGCAAACAAGATGGCCAGGCATGGTGGCTCATGCCTGTAATTCTAGCACTCTGGGAGGCCGAAGCAGGAAGATCGCTTAAGCTCAGGAGTTCGAGGCCAGCCTGAGCAAGAGCGAGACCCCATCTCTACTAAAAATAGAAAAATTAGCCGGGCGTGGTGGCCCGCTCCTGTAGTCCCAGCTACTTGGGAGGCTGAAGCAAGAGAATTGCTTGAGTCCAAGAGTTTGAGGTTGCCGTGAGCTAGGCTTATGCCACAGCACTCTAGCCCAGGTAACAGAGTGAGACTCTGTCTCAAAAAAAAAAAAAAAAAAAAAAAACCAAGAGATCTTTGTGACTTTGGGATAAAGAATGACACGAAAAGCATGAATCATAAAAATAAATATTGATAAATTGGACCTTTACTAAAAACCCCTAAGTAAACCAAAAGAATGAGAGATATTTGCAACACATATAGTTGACAAAGGACATCTATCCATAAAATATAAAGAACTCACAAAACAATAATAAGAACACAAACAATCCAACAAAAAAAAATGAGCAAAGATTTTGAACAGGCACTTCACAAATGAAGATATGTATGTATGTCCAATAAGCACTTGAGAAGATGCTAAACATTATAACCCATCAGAGAACTGGAAATCAACACTACAATGAGATACCACTTCACACCTGCTACGATGGCTACAATTAAAAAGACAGACAGTAACAAGGATGTGACAAAATTGTAACTCTCAAAATTGCTAGTTGGAATATAAAATGGTGCAGCCACATTGGAAAATAGTTTGGCAGTTCCTTAAAATGTCAAACATAGATTTAACATATTATCAGCAATTCCATTCCTAGGTATCTACCCAAGAGGGATGAAAATATACATCCATACAAAAACTAGTATGCAAATGTTGATATTAACATTTTTCATAACAGCCAAAAAATTGAAACAAATGTCCACCAACTGGTGAACAGATAAACAAAATATTATATACTCAGACACTGGAATACTGTCTACCATGTAATAAAAAGGAACAAAAGTACTGATACATGCTACAATATGAATGAGCCTCAAAAACACTATGCTGGGTAAAAGAAGCCAGACATAAAAGACCACACACTGCATGATTCCACTTATATGAAAATGTCCAGAAAAGGCAAATCTAGAGAACAAAGAATAGATTAGTGGTTGCCTAGGGATGGGGGTATAATTGGGATATAACTGCAAATGAACACAAGGTTTCTTTTGGGGATGATGAAAATGTCCTAAAATAAGACTGTGTTGATGGTTACACAACTCTGTAAATATACTACCAACCACTGAATTATACATTTAAAACAGGTGAATTTTATGTATGGTGTGTAAATTATACCTCAATAAAGCTTACAAAAAGAGATATGCAACCTCATTAGTCATCACTGAAACGCAAATTAAAATCACAATGAGATACCACTACACACCCACTAGAATGGCTAAAAGTTAAAAGACTGACAATACCAAGTGTTGCCAAGAATATGAAGTAGAACTCTCATTTTACATTCCCACATCTGGTGGGAATGTAATATGGTGTAGTGGAATCGAATATTGTTCCCCAAAAAGAGATGTAGAAGTCCAAAACCCTGGTACCTATGAATGTGACCTTATTTGGGAAAAAAGCTCCTTGCAGATGTAATTAAGTTGAAGATCTTGAGAATCTCAAGATAAAATGATCCTGGATTTAAGGTGGACCCAAATCTAATAACCGACATCCTTATAAGAGAAAGAAGTAGACTAGAGACACAGAAACACAGAAAGGAAGGTCATGTGAAGATGGAAGTAGAGATTGAAATCATACTGCCACAAGTCAAGGGACACCGGGAGCCACCAGAAGCTGGAAAAGGCAAGGAAGGATTTCCCTCTAGAGCCTTCAGAAGGAGTGTGGCCCTGTCTGCGCCTTGACTTCAGACATCTGTCCTCCAGAACCCTGAGAGAATAAATTTCTGTTGTTTTTAGCCACCAAGCTTGTGGTAAAATTTGTAAATGGTAAAATCACTTTGGAAAATTGTTTGACAGTTTCTTATAAAGTAAAACAAAGAACTCCCATATAACTCAGCAATTTCATTCCTGGGTACTACCAAATAGAAATGAAAACAGAAAGACTTATACATGAATGGTCATAGAAGCTTTTTTCACAATAGCCCAAAACCAGAAACAATTCTTATGTCCAGGAACAGGTGAAAGAATGAACAACATGTGACATATCCACACAGCGAACTACTACTCAGTAATAAAAAGGAACAAATTACTGATAATATGCAACAACATGGATAAATCTCAAAAATCATTATGCTGAATTAAAAAAGATCCAAGAATATATACTGTATGCTTCCATTTATATGAAATTCTAGAAAATACAGAATCATCTATAGAGACAGAAAACACATCAGGGGCTACTTGGGGGCCAAAGTGGACAGACAGACTGACTATAAATGAACAAAAAGAAACTTTTAGAAGGGATAGAAATGTTCTCTATGCCAATTGTGGTGGTTTTGCAGGTAACTACATCTGTCAAAACTCATCGAATTGTATACTATAAATGGTTGTAAATTACTGTATATAAATTACATGTCAATAAAGTTGATTAGAAAAAGAAAATAATTCATGAGTAATTGGACATTTTATATTTAAGATGTAAAACAACTGCCTATACTTTGTTCTAATCAATAACATTTCATAAGTAAACAAATTTTAAATAAAGAGCGAAGAAATTCTTAAAAGTAAACAGGAAGACAACAACTTGCTCTGTCAACTCAACAGGTTTCACAAGCATAAAATGGGAAAAAGCCTTGAAATTGGAGTCAGAAGACCTAGCTCTGAGTGCTAGTTCCACCTAGCAACCAAGTGGCCTTGGACAAGTCATAACTTCTACAAGCCTCAGTTGCCACATCTCTAAAATATAGGTGACATTAATAACCACCTCACAGGCGACGGCTCTGGTTTCAATAGAATAAGAACTCATTTGGAGAAGGGATTCTATCTTAGCCAAAGTTATAATCCCAATATATTGCATTGGGATATATGCTCAATAAATTTACAAAATAAATGAATTACTTTAAAAATAAACCTGAAAGGTGAGAAAGGCATCATGCACAATGTCAGTGGGTGATGTTTAATTGTTTCTTGTAGAATAATGCAGAAGGGTCTCCCTCTTTGTGCCACCTTTATAGTATATTACCCACATCACATGCTAATTCGAGCATGGAAACTTCAGGTCCCTTGTGAAATGCTGCTATAACTGAGGTCATTATAGAGCAGATTTTATGTTTTAAATCCTTAGGTACATTGCGTTAAGACAGACTCACTTTCTACAAAAGCAAGAACAGTGTATATATTATTTAACACTGATCCTCACTGCCAATATCTGCCTATCATAGAACATATGCAAAGGCCCTATGACTAACTGAAATACAGGAAAGAGGGACTTTTAAGAAGGCTAAAGTAGTCGATAGGAAGGCAGAAAGCAGAGTGTTATGCCCCGGGGGCTTGTATCCAATGGGGATCTGGGCACATTTAGGATCTTTTAGGCCATGTGAAGTTTTGTTTTTACCCTAAGACAACAGAAAGCCACGGAAGATTTTAAACAGGTGGTTGGCAGAGTAAGGCGGGAGGAAAGGGACATAATTTGATACACACTTAGAAAGGATTATACTCTACTGTGTGGAAGAGACTGGCTGTTGGGGGAAGGGAGAGAAGGTGGCAGCGGAGTTAAGTTAGGGTGTGGAGTGAGTATAGTCCAATAAGGAGGCTACTACAACAGTCCATTAAAAAGATAATAGTAGCTTGGTCCACGGCAGTGGCGATGGGAAAAAAGTGGACAGATTCCCAATATATTTAGACAAAGCAATAGGACCTGAATTTCCAAATGAGGCAAAGGAAAACAATTCTTCATCTGTGAAACAAACTGTTGATACTCCATCTGTAACATATTTACCTTGCAATCTGCTACAATAATAATATAAAAATTATAAACCTAACACAGTGCCTGACACATAATAAATGCTAAAAAAACAAACCAAAAAAATTTGCTACTGGCATTATTATTGTCATCCCATGGAATGGCAATTAGCAGAACCCGAACACCAAAGGTAGAGTCTAGATAGCAATGTAAACATTCATATCCACGGTGCTGAAAGGCATACACTGTATCAGCAGGCCACCGAGACCACTGTGCCAAATAAACACATCTGACCGCACAGATATTTCATCTAAGCCGATCTCAGTCCTCAGAGACCATTATTGAATAGAAAGCACAGGTGGTATAATCACAGTCATCTGAGAGTCCGGTAAACTGAGGCACGAGGGTGGCTACAAATTTAATCAAGGAATAGGTACAGAAGTAGGACAAGGAAATGGTTGTCTCGATTCTCACTTCTGAGCCAATCCAACAGGACTTGGCCTGCATCCTGAGCAGCACGAATTTATAACATACCCCTCGCCCCATGTCTCCAGGTCCCTTGCTGACAAGGCCCTGTCATCCCTTGGCTTAATACCGTGCATCCACTCGCCATGAAACCAGGCCGTTCCGGTTCCCTGCCCCTAGCTCCCAGCTCACAAAGAACCCCAGGTCCCCAGGAGTCCGACATACCTTAGCTTCGCGCTCTCGTTCCTCGGCAGTCGGGGTGCGCTTCATGCTGCCTCTAAAGCCGCCTTCGCCACCGCGAGCCGCGTAGATCCCTCGTCCTGGACCCCGCCTCCTGCATGTAGTTCTCTAAGCGTCCTGCTCCCGCCCGGAGCCATTCGCCCCTGCAGCTCAGAGAACTACCGCTCCCAGAATGCACCGCGGTGACGCCCGCGAGCGCCCCGGGGTTTCGAGGAGAAGAATTTCCCAGGTCCGACAGCTGGGCGAGCGTAGTCCGCTACGCAGCGAGCCGACAGGCTGGGGACGAAGGAGAACTACATTTCCCAGGAGGCAACGGGCCCCGCCATGTTTTTCCCGTGCTCCTCTCAGCCAGCCGCCCAACACGCCGTCGGCGCTATAGCAACGGCAGCGGGCGGAGGAGTGAGAGTGGCTCGGTAAGTATTCTGGGGGAGGATGGGGGTGGGTGGAGGATGGCGGACCCTCCCCCTGCAGCACGGGCCAGGACCAGAGTCCTAGGGTCTGCTCTGTGGCCTGCATAAGGCCCCAGAGTTCTGCTCACGTGAAAAAGCAGCTCAGCCCGAGACACTGGCACATCCTTCAGGCCTGAATCACAGCCCGCCTTTTTGCCCCACGTCCAGGACCAATTTGAAATTTTATGTGCCAACCTTGAACCTTAGCTAATGAGATTTGATGCTGCTAATTGCCTTCCCTATCCAAATCCTGCAAGTAGAAGGTTACAAACACAGTTCGCTCATTTGCCCTGAATGAGGAGTTGGTTGTTAGACCCTAAACCTCCTGGGTGGCCTGTTGTTTGCTTAATTACTTGTTTGCTTATTGTCCGATTACTTCTATAATCTGTTAGCTCCAGAAAGGTGGAGACTTTGCTCAACACTTTAGTCTCAGTGCCTCATTTATTCATTCAATAAATATTGATGTCGGTACCTGCCATGTGCCAGGCACTGTTCTTGACCAGCTGTGAAGAAAACCAATACCCATCTCAAGATGTTTATGTGGAGACAAACAATAATTTTATCTGGTAACTTCAGATAGAGGCAATTGCTATAAAAGAAAGAAACAGTGAAGAAATTGGCAGGAAGAGTAACATTGATGGTCAGGGAAAACCTCACTGAGGAAATGACGCTTGAGCTGAGCTCCAAAGAATGAGGAGCCAGCTAATGCAAAGGCCTTGAGCAAGACAAGGGTACGGTGAAGTTGAAGAAGGTTAGGAACAGTGTAGGTGAAGCATGGTGAGCCAGGAGAGATAGCATGAGGTGGTATTGAAGAGGTATTGCAGCACCGTGCAGGGTTTCTCAGCTTCCACACTATTAACATTTTGGGCCAGACAATTCATTGTTGGAGGTCCTATGCACTGTAGGAGGTTTAGCATCCTTGGCCTCTACCCACTAGATGCCTGCAGCACCCGCCTCCTTCCCAGTTGAGACAACCAAATATATCAAGAGACAAGTACTTCCTAAATGTGTGACCTCAGGCAAGTTACCTTAATCTGTGTCTTGGCTCCCTGTTTTGTAAAGCAGGTGTCATTTGATTAAGAATGTCATAAGAATATTGTGGGACAGTTAATTAATTCATCTAAACAGAGCACTTGGAACAGTACCTGGCACATAGTAAGCATTCAGTAAATCTTAACACCACTATCATCATCATTATTGTTATTATAAAAGCAACCTTAACTCTATCATGGAAAAGTAAGCATTTTCACATGTGGCCTGTGTTGAAATGGAATCTTAAAATTGACCTTTCTGTGGAAGACACTAGACATAGAGTAAAGTAAAAAAAAAAAAAAAAAAATTGACGTTTCTGTAGCAGTGTTTCTAAAAGAAGTAGATGATCTCCCAGGCATTTGTCTGTTAGCTGTTTCTGTCACAGCAAAATGCGGTTGTGAGTTATAATTAAAGTTATGAATCCTCTCCCCAAAATATATGTATATACACATAAATATACAAAATTTTGTAAACCATCTCTGAGTTCACAGACCCTGAAGTCCCATTGGCTCCATTCATTCAACAACTATTTGGTGAATGCCTACTCAGCGAATGTGCCAAACTCTATGCCAGCCTCCAGGAATACAGTGGTGAACAAGACAAATAAGCTTGCCACTCTCTTGGTCTTCCCAGTCGTAACCAACATCTTAGAGCTTAAGAATTTTTCTGCCTTAGAGTATCTTCGTTGACAGTTTGCATTTGGCTTTCTATGTAGATTGAAATGAAATGTAAAATCTTTTTTTTTCCTTATTAGACATTGTAGGAACCGTTCACATCCATGTACAAAATAAAGTTACTGTGGTATATCTCTGTAAAGAATAGAAACTGTAAAAATATCAGAATTACCTGGACAGCCTATGCGTTGAGGTAGTTAAACCCTGGAACCTGGGCGGTAAAGAAGGCGGCATACAACAAAAACATGCCCAGTTGGTGAATTTATGAAACCTTTTTCACAAAACTTGGAACTACCCACTCACTTGTGCATCAAGCAGAACATTAATATTCAGAACATTAACATTAATATTGACATCCCAGGCATGTGTGCTAAGTTCTTTTAATTTACCATCTCGCTGACCTTAGAATAACTCTATGAGATAGATATTATTTTCTCCATTTTTAAAATTAAGGGACTGAAACTCAGAGAGGTTAGGCAACTTGACCAGCTGGTAAATGATAGAACAACCATTTGAATCAAGTTCCTGACCTAAGTTTTTCTGAGATACCTGCTTTCTTTTAGGGGTTGGGGAGGGGGAAGGGATGGAGAGGGAGTATTTCTTAAATGATAATCTTACTTCATTTCCTAAGCAAACTATAGGAAATATGGTGTTGACAGGAACACCATCTCCATGATTGAATGTAGTATTACTTTTAGAATAGAAGCTTTCATCTTCTTCAGGCAGCACATGTGGACAGTAGGATGGCCATTAAAGTTCTAGTCCGTTATTCATTTCATTTGGTTCATTCCATTGCGTAGTTAATGTAGTAACTTGGAAAGAGTTTATTTGAATTTGCTTTTCTCCACAGATAGGCAATGTCTGGTCCAGCCGATGAGACTGCAGGAGACCTGCCTGTGAAAGATACAGGTCTAAACCTCTTTGGAATGGGAGGGTTACAAGGTATGACCAGCTGTTATTTATTACAGTTATGAACTTTGATCAGGGACTTCTTTACTTTTAATTTAAAGTATTTCTGATATTCATACAAACCAAACCGTTTAAGTAACTATGTAGCTCTTGATTGGACTAAACAAAAAGATGGAGGGTTTAGAACACATATGGTATTTTACCGCATGCATCAATTATCAACAGCTCATAGAAAATGTAAAATCCCCCTCTGTTCTGATAAAGAATTGTTATAAATCATCTTTTTAAAATTCCACACGTCAGTAGAAACTACATAGAGACTATCAAGCCTCCAAACTGAATAGCCTGGTTTAAATCACATTCACCATTAAAACATTTCTTTATGATTAAATTTTATGTGGAAGGAAATGCCGTATTTTAAAATTTTTGACTTTTAAGTAGAATATCTCAAAATACCTTATTTATGCAAGTGATAGTGACTTTTTTATCAAATTAATATACATTAAAGGTTTTCTTTATCCTTTTATCACTTAATGGTTACTGTAGGGCTAAAAAGCACTTTCAAATTGAGAAAGAAAAGCACTACTTTAAAGAACAATTTAGAGTATAGAGCTATGTTTATGTTTGTACAACGTGTCAGCCATACTCTCATGCCACTACATTTGCTACTGAGAAGAAATATTTAAAATATTTCCACTAGGCAATCTTTGTACACTTTTGATTAGAACAGTATGAATGGCCACCTTGAAATACCTCAGAAAGGTGGTCAATATATTATTTATTGAAAAAGATAAATTTGGCTATAAAGATTTTACTGTTAAAATTAAAAAGTATGTATAAGCTTTGCTCTAAATCTTTGAGGGAGTATTAGGCATTCAAATACAAATAAATTTTAAGTCTGCAAAGCTATGTATTGGGTTTTGATAATCTGCAAGTTCAATTCTTGTCCTCATTAACCCATCGTAGGACTTTAATCTCTATCAGTTTGTTCTTTGTTTCTACTGGAGGATTGTTGAAAATTGAGCTACTTCATAATGTTATGGAAAATTTAAGTGTTTGTAAAAAGATATCTACACATGCTACAGGATATAAAAGTTCTTCTTAAAAAGTATGTAAAGTAGCATATAGGGAAATGATTTGTGAAGCTTTTAAATGATAATTGTTAAATTTTAGGGGGTTTTTTTGTTTGTTTTGTCTTAGAATTTTTAGTTTATTTTCTATAACCCAACTCTATAGCTCAGAAAAATGTCTTAATCATATGTGTTTACAGAATTATGCTCACTCTTGCCTTTATAAAAAAGAAAAAAGTTTCAGATATTCTGACTTTTCCGACTTTTAATTTAGTTTTACAACATCCAGCATATAAAGTGGAAAGTCGTTACTGAATCAGAGTTCCATGTTATATTCATACAGAATGATTACTTGAATACATTTTTGCAGGGATGCTATTATTGCTCAGATTCCTAATACTGTATGTAAAGTATTAATAGCAAAGGTTTTTATTCTCACCTCAAATTGTTGATGTGAACAATGCTATAGCATTTTCTAAAGCAATTTCAATTGTAGGTCACAAAGAAAAAAAATCTAAGATGAGGGCATCAGAGATTATATTAATATCAATAGTTTTCATTTTTAGAGACTATTTTAAATAATCCCACAATTAATTACGTTGGCATTTTTGCAGAAACTTCAGCACGGACCATGAAGTCTCGCCAGGCAGTGTCACGTGTCAGTCGTGAGGAACTGGAAGACAGATTTTTGCGTTTGCATGATGAAAACATTTTACTTAAACAGCATGCCCGCAAGCAAGAGGATAAAATTAAAAGGTTATGATAAAAAGCTTTTAGCTTTTTTTCTTGACTCTCAAAGTTTGGAGGGTATGGTTTTTTATAAACTTAATTGAAAACCACACCTTGAATCTTTTTTGGAACAAGGCAGGTTGCAAATAAGTACAATTATTAAAAATGGAAAATCCTGCGAACTACAATAATAAACCAAAAAGATTATATAAGTGTTTATTATGTCTGAAGTTGCTATTTGAAAGAAAAGGGCTAATAGCTAAGAGTGCCAGGAGTATATCATATCTATAAATAACTTTTGGGTTAATAATATTTATAGTTTAATAAGCAAATAGCCAAAGCATCTGTTTTTAAATGTTTTTCTTTTAATATGAAACTTTTAAAAAGTAATTAACTATTCTAACTTGTTAGAATGCATGTTCCCTTAAGATTTGGGGTTTACTAATGAAAATATCACTTAAGTCTCCAGAACATATTTAACTTTGCTTGGGTTAGTCTAGATTCTATATTTATTTCAGAGAGCCTCTACTGTTTTTAAAGAAACATATTGTCACTTTTGATTTATGTGCAAAAAATTTGTGCAGGAATGATTTAAGGGTAATATTCTTTAATTCTTTGTTATTCAGAAACACTTTGCCTATCTTCCGAATGTATGGCATTAAAAACAAAAAAGTACATTTCCATTTGTAAGCATGAGGAGGTCAGTGTTCATAATAATATTCCAGGTTCAAAGAAAAGGTGAGATATAGCCATCGAAGAAAAAATATAGGGTTCTTTCCTGCTCAGAATTCATCTTAAAGAAGTAATTCCAGTTCAATTTCTACTCTGTGGACTTTGTCTTAGGAGCCCATAACCTGATGTGTGCAGGCCTTTTTACTTGAGTTGGTTTTTGAGTCATGATGGCTGTTCAAGACATGTGACTCCCTTGCCTGAGTCCGTTTCTGACCAGTAGCACACACATGTCAGCCAGTCAGAATGTGACAGGTAGTCTATGACCACTGAACATTTTTTTTTCTTTGTAAGCCTATTGATCAGTAAAATAATTGAATTCACAACCTTGACCTCATTAGTAATTTGGCCTAGCCAGAAAACAAAAAACAACTTAATAATGAGCCATGTCATTTAATGGGAAAAAGAACTGGGCTAAGAGTCAGATGTATGTATGTGTTCTGTTATCTCCCTGCCACTAGCCTATGGTATGTTCAAGCCATTTAACCTCATGGGATTTTGTTTTACTCAGCCATGAGAGCAGTGATCCAGTGAACACTGACCTAAAGTTCTAAATTCCTTCTCAGTCTTACACCACTGACAGTGACCTGGATACATGGGTAAAACTGTCTTTAAATTTATCCTTAAGATGTAATTAGTACCGCTTTCTGTAAATATAGATTTTTATAAACCACCTTTTTCAATAAGTACTCAAACTTTACCAGATCACTTATGACTCTTCAGTATCATAAAATAATCAATTCCAACGAATAGAATTGCTATTAGCGAACAAACAGATGCAATCTTATGTTTCTTGATAAAGTTTACTTGAACATCATTTAAGGAATTTAAAGACACTTCTCTAGCTATTGACTACCTTTTCATATTAAATCTATGTCTTTCTTTTAAATGTAATCTATATCTCTGTGTGAACATTTTTTCTGTAACAGAAGATTCAAGTATTTAGATTGACATCTCATTTAGATGACTACCTTATTTTTATGGATAGGCCACCGGTTGGGGCTCAGGACCCTAAACTCATTAAAGGGCTAGGTAGAGTGTGTTACTCTTGGACTGTGATACCTGGCCAAATTTCCCAATGATATATCATTCTCTGGATTAGGTGGAAAAGAAACTAATCCATTGACTATTTTACTAGAGTGTTTGTGGTACTCTTGAATCTTGGTTTTTATTATCCTATATCCCTTATAAAGCATGCTTAATGGGTGTGCCTCAAGGGAAAGAGAAAACAATCTTAACTGATTATGTTATGCATAGATCTCCCCAATGCCACATGCTGTAGGCTGAGTAGCCAGAAGTGTAGATAGACATGTATTACTACCGCATTTACAGAGGACTCTGCTTAGGGCAAAGAGAAAAAAAAAAAAACGTTGTTCTATAACATCCCAAAGCTATTAAGGATTTTTTTATTTCACTTTTGTTGTCTTAAGTAAAAGCTTCTGTCCATAACCATACTAAAATAAAACAAACCCCATTTAAAGAAAAATGAAGTGTGTTTTTATTTTCAATCTCCTGTCTGGATCTTTATAAAAATAGATTCACTATAAACTAGAATCAGCTATTGAAGATGTGCGACCAATTTTGTAAAGTCTTGAACTTGTGTCTCTCATCAAAGCCACCTTTTCTTTCTTGTCCTGCCAAGATTTTTCCATTCACTGTCAGGCATGTTTTCCGTACGTGTATATTACATCACCCCCATGTGCCCTTTCTGTCTTTTGTTCTGTCTAACCAGTTTCTATCAAAACTTAAAAGAATCAAAGGTATAAACTCCTGAGATGTCAAAAGCACGATTTATGTCTAAAGGTAGCATTAAAATGATACTTTTTGCATCTAATTATTTTCTACCATTAAACACAAATGTTTCTTGAGCACTAACCAACATTTAATGGTGCATTTTGGCTTCTTTTGAATTTTTCATTGGCTTTGTATGTGTGCATCTGTACATTCTAACATTTTTATATGTATAATGTGTCTTAATCCTAGAGAAACTGAAAACAATATATTACCTAAATGCTGCATAGTCTTAACACACTTTTGAAAAGTTAACTTACTGTGGATTGCAGATAGAACCTACCACATCCACAATCTGTAACTACATTTAAGTGCATACAGCATTCCTATATAAGGTCATGCGTTAAAAATTGCATTTCAGGAACATATGGAGTAAATATGTGTCCTCTCTTTACTAACCTTAAATGATAAGCCTTAGGAAACTGTTATTTGTCAGTGCTATAAAGCAGATTGTTGCCCAGTGGTTTCAATTATCATCAAAGGATTCTTCACAGGCAGTAATAGTTACATCAAAACCTGAAATTTATTATTCAGGTTCTGCACTGAAGTCTTCACAGTGATTATGTTCCTTTCAACAGAATGCATTTTATGCTGACTTCTCACATTCCTTTTCATCTTTTTATTATTTCCCTAGAATGGCCACCAAGTTAATACGGCTAGTTAATGACAAGAAAAGATATGAGCGGGTTGGTGGCGGCCCCAAGCGGCTGGGACGAGATGTGGAAATGGAAGAAATGATTGAGCAGCTGCAAGACAAAGTTCATGAGCTTGAAAGACAAAATGAAGTCCTCAAAAACAGACTAATTTCTGCCAAACAGCAACTTCAAATCCAGGGTTACAGGCAAACTCCATACAATCACATACAATCTCGTATTAACACTGGGCGTAGAAAAGCGAATGAAAATGCAGGTTTACAGGAATGTCCCAGGAAAGGTAAAACACAGCTTATGTTAAATTCTAAAGTTAAGTCTTGTAATAGATTGTTTTCACACACAAACACAAAGTTTTATTTCTGTATTATTCATACTTTTAAGTGTCTCTGGAAAAATAATTTTTGACTTGCTTTTTTATAAAAGAGTATTGTAATGAAGATCATTTAAGAATCATGAGATCAGTCTCACATTTGTATAGGAAAATATTCCACATAACTGTTCATCCTGATAGAAGAGACATGTATGAACTAAGGAAAATTTGAGTTGAGTTTGACTTGATTATAATACAGATGGAAATCATGCAGACACAGGCATTAGGGAAACCAGCTAGTTTGCTTATGTATGATCACACTAAAGTCTTTTGAATGATCACATTTAAGTTCTTCATCCAAAGATCTTTTATCGAATTTGCAAAAATGTTGAAATCTTTCTTATTGTATGGAGGCAGCATAACAGTGGAATGTTGTGTTCTTGTTCTTCCACTTAACTAGCTGGTGACCTTGGACAAGTTTCCTAATCATTCTGCACTTAAGTTTTCTTTACATGTAAAATAAAAAGATTGAGGTAAGTGACCATAAGGTCTCTTCCATCTCCGAAAATGATCAGAGGCCAATCACTTTCTTCATTTTGAAAATGGGTAACCTAAAACCTACCCAGGTTACAAAGCAATTCAATTTCATAGATAAGACTTAATATAGAACATGAATATTTCTAATAAAAATTCTCAGTTTTCTCTACCCACAAACTTTATTGTAATAGAACTAAAAGTCAATAAATATTTTAAGGAACATTTTTAAAATGTCAACTACTAGAAAAAGAAATAAAGTTTTAGCTCTAATTGATTTTTATTGGAATATACTTTACATAAAGACCAAATATTTTTAGAGATATGAAGAATCATGTTAAACTTTAATTTCAGTTTATTGGGGAAGAAAAAAAAAAACACCACATGAACAGAAAGGGAGAAAAATTTGTTGTAGTTTTCTCTCTAAGCCAAAATGTTAACACTCTCTGTTCCCTAGATAGACTTCCTTTGAAGTCAACAAGGCCTCCACACAAGCAGGAGGCAGCTGCAGGATGAAAGGGCTTGGCTACTCCTAGCTCTGTGAGATTGGCAGTCGACTTTGAATATAACCAAAGTAAGCATAATGAATTATAAATCAGAAAATACTGCCGCTACTTAACTTCTTTACATAGAAGAGAGTACTTGAACTCTCAGCCTCACATTCCCCATCTATAAAATGGAGTGATAATAACGCCAGATTAGATAAGAGATCGGATGGTAGCTCCACAATAATATATTTTACCATTAAAATGTCACTTATCCTCTCTGAATCTTAATTTTGCCATCTGGGACCATAACTCGGCAAGGTGATCTCTAAGGTCTGCAAGGTCTTTTATGTTATACTAAATAAAAATATTGCCTAAGCCGGGCACAATGGCATACACCTATAGTCCTTGGGATGCTGAGGCAGGGAAACCACTTGAGCCTAGGAGTTTCAGTTCATCCTGGGCAACATAGACCTCTGTCTATAAAAAATAAATAAATAAATCCCAATTTTTAGATTAAAATGGCAAACTAATCTAGTGCTATAAATTGCTGTTTAAATAGAAGAGTTTGATGGACATTTCTCCCTATAAGGAAAAAAAAGCCACAGAGCAACAGGGTCTTGTAAAAATGTGACTACATGGTTTAAGTTTCTCCTTATGTTTGTATGTTCTTAGTGATTTGGACCTTACTCACTGTTCAGTATAGAGTCCAGGACATGGAAGTGGCACAAAACGTTAATGATGAATACTTTCTTAATCACTGTCTTTCTGAATAAACTTGAGGCACCATTACCAAAGCTGATACGTTAGCAACCTTAATAGACTCTTCAGGACTGCCTCTGAGGCTGGGACTTAGGCAAGACTTGTCAGGAATATCTCAGCCTGGGGTTGCTGGGTGGGAACCCCAGACCCTCTCTGGCTACAAGCAGCCTTTACCCACAAGCTGCTGTACAAATACTATTTTCTACTTGTGCCTTGTCAGGATAAAGGGTGGGAAGCACTGCTTTAAGGTGTGATCAACGTAATGTAAAAATTTCAAGATTGTTGTATATGTTTTTAAATATTAATATAATCCTTGGTAGAGAGTAGAATGATAGTTACGAAGAGCTGGGAAGGGTATGTGGGGAGGTGGCAGAGGGCTCATAAAGAGAAGTTGGTTAATGTGTACAAACATATAGTTAGATAGAAGGCATAAGTTCTAGTGTTTGATAGCACAATAGGGTGACTGTTGTTAACAACAATATATTGTATATTTCAAAATAACTAGAAGAGAAAATTTGAAATGTTCCCAGTGCAAAGAAATGATAAATGTTTGAGATGATGGATATCCTAAATACCCTGATTTGATCATTACATATTGTGTGCATGTACCAAAATTGCACACGTATGCCATAAACACATACAAATATTGTGTATCAATTTAAAAAGTAAAATATATGTTTATAAAACCATTGGCAAATCACCATGAGACTATAACTTTTAAGATACGTTTTGAGTATTTTTTTAATTCTCCCAGTAATGTTGAATTTTTGATGATTTATGTAGGAAAGTTTAAGAATTAGCCTTACTGCCAAAATATTAGGTTATTAAGTATGGAATGTCCAATTTCCTTAAGTACTAAGTTTGACAGTTGATATCTCTGACATTTTACTTTGACATTTCTTGGTTTTTTATTTCTTTTTATTATGAAGGTACATCATTCTTTCAAATGCACGTTTTGGCTTGTGATTATCTTTCACATTTTTTTAGAGCAATTTTTGTGAAACCTTGGATAAGTAAAAAATTTGTGTTATTTTTGAATATGAGTTCCGTTGTGGAATCAATGCAGTGCAGAAAGCTCAAAGTATCAACAAAGTGTTTGGGAAGGATATGGCTAATGAATGCACAGTATGTAGATGGTTTGAGAAGTTCCCTTCTGGTGATTTTAATCTTGAAAATGAGACATGTGGGTGACCTGAGATCAAGGTGGATAATGATGAGCTGAAAGCTGTAGTGGAAGTGAATCCATCGTAACCTACACGTGAATTAGCAGCAAGGTTTGATGTTACTCTTCCAACAATATTGGACCATTTGAAACAAAGGGGCACGGTAAAGAAGCTGGATAGATGGGCACTGCATGAATTAAACAAGCATCAGAAGAGAAATCATCTCAAAGGTTGCCTTTTTTTGCCATCACAACATAAAGGCGAACCATTTGTATACCATTTTGTTACATAGGGTGAAAAATGGATTCTTTTCAACAATTGCAAGCATTCACTACAATGGTTAGATAAAGATGAAGTGCTGAAATGCTGTCCAAAACTGAATATTCATCAAAAAAGCTAATGGTGTCTGTTTGGTGGTCCAGCACTGGTATTATCATGAAACCTGATCAGTCGATTACAGTGGATGTCTACTGCAACCAAGTGGAGAAAATGATGAGGATGCTTGCGATTAAGCAGCTGAAATTGGTCAATAGAGACAGGCCAATCCCCTTGCAAGACCACATGTCACAAAAAATGTTCAAACTACAGAAGCTGGACTTGGAAACTCTCTGTCATCCACCACATTCACCAGAGTTTGCACCAACTGACTACCACTTCTTCCAGGCTTCAGACCACTTCTTGGAAGGAAAAATAGTCAATTCTCAACAAGCCATGGAAAATGCCTTTCACAATTTCATCGCCACTCGCTCTCTATGCTGCTTCGCTGCTGGCGCTAGCAAGCTACCACTAAGATGTCAAAAATGTGTTGGTAATTTAGGCACATACTTCAATTAATTGTACTTCTTTTTTGAGATGTAATAATTTAAACTTTTGATTCAAAATTGGACATTTCATATTTAATGACCTAATATAATTGGCAAATTCTGACACAGTGAACTATTAATATTTAATGTGTTAGGCAGAGACTTTTCTATTCTTTCAGATTAGGGCAACAGATGTTGAATGCTTTGGAAAGAGCAATAGTTCCATTATTCTAATGAAAATTCTCATTTGTAGAAGTAAACTTTTCTAAAAAGCACAAATTTGTTCTGTATGTTCTTATCTGGAACTATTCTCCATTTTAAAATCTAAATCATTTGTCATATTTTATCTACCATTAAATAATTTAATATTCTATAAATATGAAATAACTTACATAATTAAAGATATGTCTCATTTTCAGCAGTGGAACTATCTTTGTAAAATTTTATATAACTATTTTAGAAGAAAAATATATTTTAAATGAAACAGAGAAATGTTTTATTTAAAGGAATTCTGTTGATGATCCATTCCCAAATTAACCTTTGTTTAAATATGGATTTTTCTTATTGAGATAGAATTAACCAAAATACAGAAAACATTTTGACTTAAACATGTAAGGAAAAGGAATGCAAATGCCTAATTTAAAAATCACTGTCTGGAGGATGGACACACTTGAAGCTCTAACTCGGGCGGGGCAAAAGCAATATATGTAACCTAAACATTTGTACCCCTGTAATATGCTGAAATTAAAAAAAATGTAAAAGAAATCAAAATCAAAAAACCTTTATCAGAAATGTCAAAAAACCTTTACCAGAAACACCAAAAAAAGTCAAGTTTTTGAAACCTTTTTTTCTTCATCTTCAGTTTACATTGTCCAGAGCTGAACTAAAGACTTTGGTTCTTTTGGAAATTATTGAAGGAGTTCTAAATCTTAAGTTGAATCAAATTATTTCTAGGTAATTTGGTTTCTACAGCAGAATTTGTTAAATGGGCAATTGCTATGTTTTATTTAATGCCTTACTGGTGGCTGAGATCTAATATTCCCTAGAGTAGTATATTTTTAATTCTCTTTACCATAGAACACATAACTCTTAGTACTTAATAAGAGATTTTGCTATATTACAAATATCCTTATGATAGCAAATGAAAGATCCTTCTTTTCTAACTTCACTGCTATAATCATATTTTATTACTTTATTTTTAGGTATAAGATTCCAAGACATAGATGTAGCAGAAACACTACAACCAATGCTTACAAAATACGACAACAGTTTACTTGAAGAAGCCAGAGGAGAAATAAGAAATTTGTATGTGTTCTTTTTGTGGTCATTTTAGAACTTTGTTTGTTGATCATGTCTTTTTTTTAATCCCTCCCTTTCCTTTATTTTAAATAAAATTGGGTTACATATAAATAATTTGCTCCACTAAAATACAGCCATGTTTCTGTAGGGTGACAACAGATATTATCTAATATGTTTTTAGTAAAATGAGGAAAATGAACAACTTACTGTATTGATGGAAGGGTTTATAAAATACTCTGCTTTATTTATGATTTTACTCCCAAAGGAATACCATAAAGTCTAGTCATTTAGAATAGTGTAAGATTTACAAGCAGAAAATCGCAGGTAATATTTTTAGATCCTGAATCAATTAGCTCTTTTTGTGGTTAAAAAAAAAAAAAAAAAGGAGGGAGTGGCTTAAAAGTTTGGAGTTATCAGATACATATGGATTTCAGATTTTGTTTCCATATGATTCTATGGTACTGCATTCTTCATCATATCATGGTTTCAAAAAAGTTACTTCTGCCACATTTAGCTTACTTTTCCAGTTAATCAAAGCCTCATGGTTTCAGTGTCTGCAGGTCACACAAATGAAGGTAAGGTTCCACTTCGTTTATAGACCTTCACCTGGATCATCAAAAAAATAACAATACTGAGTAAGGAAAGAAAACATAACACAAAGAGTAACATACTTTAGATAGTTATTTGAGAATACTATGGCCTTAAAATGTTTCCTTTTGAATATTTTAAATATCAGTTACAATAATGATTAGCCAGTGGGAAAATAAAAGACTAGACATAATCTTGTTACCTGATAATCAGCTGAAAAGCCAGGGTTGATAAAAGTTTCCTGAGGCTCATTACACTGGGATGCTGCCAGACATGCTAGAAATAAATGCATGCCAGAGAATACAAGTTATGTTTGGCAAATTTCCTGCCATATCTCTCTGAAGTGTTAATTTGGGTGATAATAGGCAGATGTGAATATATGAAAGAAGAAAGGCATATAAATTATCTGAAGACCAGATGGTAGAGTACGTAGTAGGTGATCAATAAATACTTAATTGAATTGAACCAAAATCCAATCCATTGCCCAAGACATTATCTTGTAAAAAGCAATATCTTGCATTATTCCATATGTATTTCCAAATTGTCACATTGAATCTGCTCCTATTCCATTGAGTGCAGAGGCACTTAAGCTAAAATTTTTAACTTCTGTTTGCTATTTATTATGAAGAACTTCCTTTGCACTGATCTTAAATACTGCACATTTTCCCTCAAACTACAAATTCTTATATAGGCTCTTTTTTTTTTTCAGAGAAAACGTTATTCAGTCACAGAGAGGCCAGATAGAAGAGTTAGAGCACTTGGCCGAGATCCTGAAAACTCAGTTGAGGAGAAAAGAAAATGAAATTGAGTTATCTCTTCTTCAGCTTCGAGAACAGCAGGCTACAGATCAAAGGTATGTTGAAACAGAAATATCGCTTTGATAAGGTCAAAATTAGTTTAAAATACTTTATCATGTGCTGTAAAAGGATAAGTTTATCTAGTCTATTTTAAAATCATGTTTTTACTTAACATTCTTTGTATAACCTCACTCTAGACCTACTAACTACTATCAACAACTCTAGTCTAAAGATGGTTTTCCATAACCTGCTCTGCTTTCAAGCAGCTTCTGATGGGTGGAAATCACCCTTATCTTGTTTTATCTTGTTTCCTTTGTTCATTTGCCGCATTTTCCAAGACTGCAGAAAGTTGGTTTTTTTTGTTTGTTTGTTCTTTGTTTTTTTTTTTTTTTTGAGACAGGGTCTCCCTGTTGTTGCCTAGGCTGGTCTCATCAAACTCCTGGCCTTAAGCAATCCTCCTGCCTCAGCCTCCGAAGTAGCTTGCAAGAAGTTCTGATACCATTTGATTGTAGCTACCTAGAGAAATATGGGTGACAGGAACTCAGCTGTTGGCATACCTTGCACATAAGTTCAGCCTTATTAAAATTTTTTTCAACCTTAAAAGACAGTAAATTCCATAATATGGTATCAGTTTTTGGTCCCCAAAAGATGTTACCTCTCCTAATATTCAAAGTTTGTGTCACAGTCTGTTGATTGTTAGGGATTACTCTGGGACCTGTCAGTAATCTCCTTGCCACCTTTTCATTTTTGACTTTTTATAATGTGCAGTATTTTCTTTCCCATCTTCCTTTGTCATTTTTGGTTCCTAATGCCAGTTCACTCATTTTGTGCTTTGACATTATACTTTCAACAAGACTTTACCTTATTCTTTCTTGAACTATTTTCTTCCCTTTATGGCTTTTATCTGTTCTTTTTCCTTTATTTTATTTTATTTTTCTGGGCCAAGCATACACAAAAGTAGAGAGAGTAGTATATGGAACCCCCATGGTACCCATCACTCGGCTTTAACAATTATCAGTATCTTACCAATCTTGTTTTGTCTGTTTCCTCTACTTTCTTTTCTTTTTTTTTCTTTTACAAGATAGGGTCTTGCTCTGTTGCCCATGCTGAGTGCAGCGGCACCATCACAACTCACTGAAGCCTCAAATTCCTGGGCTCAAATGATCCTCCTGCCTCAGCCTCCCAAGTATCTAGGACTATAGGCACACACGACCACGCTAGCTAATTTTGTATTTTTTGTAGAGATAGGATCTCACTGTGTTACCCAAGCTAGTCTCAAACTTCTGCCTCAAGCAGTCTTCCTACTTCAGCCTTCCAAAGTGCTGAGATTTATAGGCATGATCCACCAAGCCCTGCCCTATTTTCTTCAATTAATTAACCCCAGTTAGATATGTCACCTTCCCCGGAAATATTAATACTTTAACATGTATCTCTGTCTGAAAAGGAATATTTTTTAACATAACCACCATCCATTATCACACCTAACAGAATTCACAGCAATTCCTCGATAACATCCAATAACCAGTTTATATTCAAACTTCCCTGAAAATGTTTCTCTACTATTCATTTGATTGGAATCCAAATAAGGTCTACACGTTGCATTCGGTTGTTGTGTCTCTTATGTCTCTTTCTTTTCTCTCAATTATTTTTTTAAACCAAACCTATTTCCTCTACTTATTTTTCTCCTTTTCTCCTGTGATACTCTGCTTATATGGCTAGTTTCTTATTTCAAAAAAAGTAAGATTTTCTAGCTTTTTATTTCAGATTTAAAGTTAATTCATCTTTTATCAAACTAAACTTACATAGTAATATATGAAGAAGCTAAGAAAAGATCCATGCTTACAAAATACGACAACAGTTTACTTGAAGAATCTTTATATTTCAGAGATTTAAAAAATTAGTATTAATTCATATCTCTATAATTTCTGTTCCTAAAAAGCTGTGTGTAAAGTTAAATTATATAAGGAAGTCCTATATCTAGCGGCATTATATACCGTTTCAAGTGTAGGGCAAAAGAAACATGAATATTTTTGAGAATTATATTTAAATTAGGAGATGTAATTTGAACCTTGGCTTTAAACCAAGGGTAAACTTGAATACCTAGGAGTTATCCATATTCCCCTAGGAAAAAGAACTGATTTAGACTCAGCCTTCTTTAAAAACCAAGAAATGATTCTTTGTGAGGAACAGTGTCTGAAGGATCAAACCTCAACACTGAATATGACGATCATAGTAAATTGCTGACAGCCATCGTTAAGACATTGTGTGAATATAAAAATTCACATGGGCCAATCCCAAGCTTGAGGCTGTCCCTATCAGATTTCCTCAACCACTGAGTACAAGGTTATCAGGGACTGCTTTCCCTGTTACAGTTCTCAAGTCCTTAGAGGATAAAATGGACAGTTTTGGTCATTCCCTTTTCCAAAGAGATATGGTCACCTAGGAGCCAGACTTTTGAGTATTAAATGAAAGGGAGACCCAAAAGCCCTTTAATCCTAGGACCAGCAGAGGAAATAGACTGATAGACAAGGACACACTGTCTACTATAAATATTGCCAACAAGAGACACCAACTTATACACATAGAAGAATTAAGGCTCTCCTCAGGGGGCTATCTTATTTACTCTGTGGCTGTCTATTTTTTGTCACACCAAGAATTAAAAGCAGAGACAAAATGAGTATTACAGGCAAAGGAACTTTTGTTGCAGAAGCCAAAGAAATAGTTTGTACGCTACCTCACTGATTTTCTAAAATTGAAAATTTATATGTCATTTGCCTAGAAGGAAGGATATCTGTAGTGAATAGCATATTGTTTCTTGAAATACAGTTGTGAAAGCTGAAGAAATAATTTAAAACAAGGGTACTCAATGCTTTTTTTAATGTTTACACATATCTCAAAATTTTATGTGTAACAGCAATTTTTTTGAGACTAATGGAAAACTGTTGAAAAAAATGTCGGGGAGAATATAAAACTTAGTATAATTTACTGTAGACAAAAATCACAAAATGGAAACCATATTTAAACTTCTCTTTCACGGATACATTATTTCAGATTTGAAATTCTAGAAGTCTGATCTGGATGTTGGACTCCTTGTTCTCAAACATGAACTTAACGTAGTTGTAATCTCCAGAGTGGTAGTGCTTGGTATTTATGGCAAAGAGCCTTTTCATAGAATAATACAGAAACTCTTCGTAGTATGTGTTTAATAGACCAGTTTGGTTTGGCATCAGCTTGACATAAACTTTTGGTTATCCAAAGCCCTTAATTGCTTTGAAGTAAAAGCCCAGTGCTGCTCTTTTTTATTAAAATCATGTTTTTTCCTGTTGTTGTGGTCTATTTTGGAAGACTGAGTTGTGATTTTTGCATATGTTCTACATAATGCCTCATTAGCAAAAAATCTTGTATCATTTACAAGTAGCCTGAATGTCTGTGTTGTTTTGAACAAAAATCCATATTAAATTTAAACAATATAAAAATGCACATTTTCTGCTTATTAAAAAGGCCGTCTTAAATTAAATGCAAAGCAGTAACTAGTGAACACATGTACATGAACATTAAAATCAGAATAATTTTACCATTTATTGACCTTTTTCAACTCCAAAAATATTTATACTCTTACCAAATGTGTAACTAGTTTGTACTAAGTGTTTTTTTAAATAAATGTTGGGGTGTTTACCTTCTTAATTAAAAATCATGTAAGTGCCGTAATGTCCCAGTGGAGAAAATTTAACCCATAAGTATTTCAAACACTCTGACTTGCCCCCTTCCCTTTGGCGGACAGCATACTGTCAAATCTTACAACAGAGAGGCCTTTTGCAGCCATGCGTTATAAGAAACATCTTGGCTTTAGGGGCTCACTCTTTGTCCTCTGCACAGATACCAGATTGCTTCCTAGCACTCTAAGTTCTTCCCCAAGGTTCCATTTTAAAAAATTGCAAACCTACAGAAAAGTGGAAAGTAGAGTAGAGTGAGTACTCACATACCTCTTTTACCCTTAGCATATTTGTGAATGGTACAAGAAGCCTGTTTCTGCATTCTACATGCTCATGCGTGAGCCCTTTTTTCTCTCTCTCCTCTCTTCGTTTCTCTCCTCTACTCTCGTATCTCTTTTCCCTCTCCCCTTCTGCCACTCTTCCATTCTCCTCCACACTCTTCCTTCCTCCCTTCCTCCCTCCCATTTGAAAGTTAGGTGCATATATCACTTCATCTTCTGTACGCTTATAAGTATCTTCTACTAGGAACAAGGGTACCCTCCTACACAACCAGAAATCAGCTATCACATTCAAGACATTAAACAATGAATGATACGGTAGTGTTATCTAATATACAGTCTACATCCAAACTTCCCCAGTTGTTGCAATAATGTCCTTTATAACTTGGATTTTTCTAAAATAGCTGTTTTTGTTGTGTTTTAATCTAGGATCCAATCAAGGGTCATGTGTTGCATTTAGTTCTCGTATCTTTTAAGTTTCTTTTATTTTAGAATGATTCCCCACTCTTTTCTAGCCCATTGACAGTAATTTGCAGAATGCCCCTCAATTTTGATTTGCCTGATTGCCCAGCCCCCTAATTTAGAGGGCACATCTGGTTCTCTGACAGAAGGGTGCCTGGGACCAGGGATAACCATGCAGGCATTATTGCACAGGAGAGTGATCTGTCATTTTTAAAAAATATATTCACCAAGCTCTTACTGTTGTTTTGAATAGCTTAGGATTTGCCCAGTGAAAATTATCACACTCAAATATTAATACCATTTCTTTTATTCCTGTCTTTCTTATTAATATTATGTAAGGTTTTTCTGTGATAGTGACTTGACATATTTTCCCAGCACTTTATATAAACCACAGAAATTGTCGCAATATAACAGTAACTAGTATGTTCGTGCACACATGATTGTGGAAGGTAAGTTAAAACTTAGGAGTATCTTAGAGGAAGAAAGCAACTTAGAAGAGTGGAAAGAATTTAGGTCTTAGAACTAGCTTTGAGTGTTAGCTCCATCACTTAAAGGCTCTGGTTAAATTCTTTACTTCTCTGAACCTCAGTTAGCTACCTGGACTGTAAAATGAATAGATTGAAATGGGTAACTGTTTCCCTACCTTTAAACAACAGCCATTTTCTCCCTGGGGACCTCGTGTTTCTGAAAGATTTTGCCTACTAAATAAACTGTTTGTATTCATCAAAGATCTATACCATGGCAATTATTCCTTCTGATAATTGTGAAATAACCTACGTTAATGCACTGGATTGGCATAATTCTATCAAAAAATAAAAACAATACAAAACCTTTAGTTCACTTTTGCAACTTAATTGCCAGTAAATCTGCATTTCCCATTGGGCTTTTTGAAATAAGTCTCAGCTTCCCGTGCCTATTACTATAAATCTGTAGTCGGAATCCATTAAACTTGATCTTAAAAATGGTCCCCATAAGAAGATGAACAAGGATTTGGGTTCATCCTGTCCCCAGCATTTTCATAAGAATGTAATTATATGCACGTAGAGAGCCCAACAGAACTATCCTCTCCATTCCTGTGGGTGGTAGGAGTAAGAAAATACTGAGTTCTGATTTATAGTTTGACCCAACACCACAGGTAAGTTATGATCCAGCGGCAAATAAACATACACAGACAAATTTTTTCCTTTATGCAATCTTAAATCAAGGAGTACTATTTTCACCTATGAACTCAAGTAGCAGTTTTGAGCAAAACCAAATTACCTTTCAAGTAGACTTTTGTAGTGAAGCTTATTCCATTGAGTTTACTAGCAGCCTTCTGTAGTCCTATTCAAAAGTGGTAGCCTTGCTAGTAATTGTTATCTGTATATTTCTAATAAGAACTATGAATGACCCATATTGCTTTCAACAATACCCTTACGGAATGTCTGCCACTATTTTAAAAAAAAATCTAAAGACGCTAAGGTTGTTTTCAACCTTATCCCCTGAATTTAGTCAGCCTAAAACTATTACTCAAAAAGAACCTCTCCGTTCTGTCTCATAAATATTTGACCTCACTACTTCCCAGAATCTCATAGCCTAGGTTCTGTGTTCTAAAGCCTTCTCTTCTAAATGGTGTTAAGTACTATAACATTTTAGTCTCAAAAATTCAAGAGGCTTTTTTTAGCTTTCATAATCCTTACTCTAGCAAAGAAAGAAATGTTGGCAGGGGCGTGGGGGAGGGGAGTTGAGTGCCTGGGGAATAAAGTATATGAAACTTTCACTGGAGCAAAGATTTTTGTTTCTTAAGCTTTCATATTAGACTATACATTACATAGCTCCACTGAAAATTTTTCCTTCTCCAGTGTATCTGAGGTTTTAAGTTTCTGGATTTATTATGGCACCCAGTAGCAAAGCTGGAGTCAAGTGTTTTCAAGCTTCCATTAGAAATTCCTTTTTCAGAGTTTATTGCTTGACTGTTTCAAATTATATGAGAGAAACTTGGCACACAGGTTGTTGAGCTGGATTACTTTTTTCAACATAAAATCTAATTTATTTCAGTTTGTTTTTAATCTAGAAATGGGCCAACAACTCTTCTCATAGTTTTAGAAGATTTGATCATAATTCTAAATCATATGTCTGTAAAAAAAAAAAAAGGGAAAAAGAAAGAAAAGCAACTGCATTTTGCAGCTTAATCGTTCATGGTTTTTCAAAATCCTTGCTGAAAAATTTGAGAAATTTATTTTACAAAGCACTTAATTAGTATGCTTTGATAGCTGTTTGAAAATTATTTCACCATGTGTAAGGCAGCATGTATGATTTGGTACATGACAAAGTTCATCTGAATGTTTTTACCATGCATTGTTCTTTCTGTTAGAATGTCATCGTCCTGAAGATTTGGTATTCCTGTCATAGTGTGTGGAAGAGGACAAAAAAATTATGCGGAGGTCACTTAAAATATTGCTCATAAAATTAGCCCTGTGTCTATTCTTCAAAAACCAACCTGACACCTTACTCCACATGCATAGAAGTCTAGGACTGGCATCTTAGAAATGACTCTAGCTTCCTTTTGTCTACAACATCCTTCTTCTACTCCTTGCCATCTTTTTGTGACATCTCCCTTCCTCTTTCTCTGTTACTTCCACCCTTATTCTTTTACCATAGTTCATCTATGTAAAAACATTGAAGTGACTGTCAAGTTTGATGTGATTTTCATTGTATAGCTTCTTAAAGGCTACATTCATCACATTGCTGATTTTAACTTCTTACATTATCACTGACCCAGCACTTTTAGCTTAACAGGTTATCTTTTTCGTCTCATTACCCTCAAAAAATATGAATAAATATTAATAAAGCCTCTAAAATTGATACTTAAAGTAATTATTCAAGACTTGCAGGTTTTGCATTATCCCAGAGAAGGTATACTCTATAGCAAACTGACCTTTTATTTAAAGTGCCACATTATTACTGTTTTCTAAATACTATTTATGTTGTGTTTATGCCTACTCATTCAGCATTATTGGTATAAAGTGTCCTGTCATTTCTCTTTGCAATATTTTGAAAAGTTTAAACTCCAAGGAGTTATGGAAAATACTAAAGAAAGCAACCACCAATTAAACCACTGAAAGTTTTTGAAATGTGCTTACTGGTCTTTGACTTACAAAG